ACCTAATGACACTACTTCTTTTGTTTTCTTTTTTTTTTAAAAAAAAACTAGTTGATTATTTTTTATCAATTATTTTTGGAAAAATATCAACCAGACTTTGTTTCGAAACTGCCTCTAAATTTAAAATTTAAAATGGTTGTTGTTACTTTTAAGTAGGTTCTTACTAAAAAGATGAATAGATTGTTATTAATGTAAAACTAACGTTTATAAATCTAAGCCCATTTCTTCATTTTTTAAAATTTTAAAATTCAGAATGCGTTATTATTATTCTCCAATGGGCTTCTGTCAAAAAGTGAATAAATTATTGTTAATGTAAAATCAACAATTAAAAATTTAAGTCCATTCCATCATATTTTGAAATTGTCAAATTTAAAATAAGTTGTCTTTCTAGAATGAGTTCTTGTCAAAAGACAAATAAATTGTTGTTAATACAAAACCAACACTTGTAAATCTAAATTTATTCCAAATTTATTAAAGTGAGAATGAATTGTTTTAATATTAAATATGTTGTTGTCAAATTCCTAATAACAATTTAGGGGCAGTTCAGTCTTTTTATAACAAAATTAATATCAAACAAGGATTTATGGCCTGTCTTGAAATTTATAAATCCATTGGTTCTTAAGTGATATAACCTTCCTATAGGGGTCCTTGGTTGTTTTCTTTTTCCCGTTATTTATTCACTCTGTTTTAAAGATTAACGTAATAGGTTGAGTTTTGAAATTAATTTGCTTCGAGTTGAAGGCTTCAATTATCCAAATAGTTTTATTGTTGTCATTTTATCGTATTTTCACTAACAAATTGTCCGTTAGATATGTGAGAGTCATCTGACACCATTTAACATGCCTTTCAAATTATTCCTTACATGTCAATAATATGTTAGATATTCAGCGTTGAATTTTTATTAACACAAAGCAACAACATTAAAAATATTTCAATAATTAATTTAATAGTTTATTTGAGTACATTTCAATTCAGTTACTTTTTTCAGCCATGAATATTTAAGTACTTTTAATATTACTCATTTTATGTCAACATATTAGGGATATTTGAAGATATTTTAATAAAAAATAATTAAGAAATGAAATTAAAAGTATATCTCTTTTTGTCACTCAGCAAAAATAGGATTCCCCACCCCCACCGCTTTTCTAGGTAGTCCTAAAAAAGTGGTTGGCGTATAACCTATTGAACTGTGAGACAGATAAAGTTTTGGATGAAAATGGTATGTGGCATTTCTTTGAACCGGTTTCAGCTAAAGTGAGAATATAGAATCTGATTTAATAACTTCTCTTGCCTATCTTTTTTCCCTGGAATTTCCTCCCTTTTAGCTCTGTTAACAGGCTGAAAAGGTTGGAAAGATAGAAGGGAATTATTCTTCACTCTTCAATCACCCAGAACCTTACATTTTTGGTATTTTCCGCTTGATAAATTCATGAAGATAATTTATGTTATGTTTTCTTTCCCTCTTTTACCACCTATGTTAAGCCTCTACTAGGTAGATCATTCATATTACTTTAATTAAGCATAGAACAGCCAACAATAAATAATTTGAAAAGAAGAAAAGGCCCAAAAGTAGAAAGGCTAAGTATGTAATACATCTCAGACAACCATAGTGGAAGCAAAGAAACGACATATAAAAGAAAGAATGTTATTCTATTCTTCTTTGTCCTTTAAAGCGATTCTTGAGTGAGTGGAGCTGTTTGATTGTAGCTTTGTGCAAAACTTTTGACTGGATTTCCTCAAAAGAGAATCATTGAATTCTAGTGCTCTGAGCTCTTTCTTCTGTCAATTACTCCAATCCAATTCCTTTTTATCTTTCTGTCCCAACTCCCAAGATTTTTTGTTCCGTGCTTGATCAGTTTAGACTGATTTTGAATGATGGTACCGAACAGATTTGAGACAGTGAAGCTTTTCTTTTATCCTGATTACTGACTATTCTTATTTTACTCTGTTTTGGGCTTAGACTCCCCCCCCCCCCCCAACACACACACACCAACTTGTTTACTTCAGTCATGCGGACATATGATAGAAGATTCTTTTTAAGATTGGCTGAATGCAGGAATGAATGATACTGAAAAAAATGGGCGTCGCGAAGTTCTTGTTATGAACAATGATTTATTTTCTCACCTTTATTGATTGTTATAGTATGTGCCAGCTTGGTTGGTTTTGGTTATTCAGACATAGTAGAGCATTTATTAAAAAAATGGTTGAAAGAAGGAACTGATGATTGAATTTGAACTTGAACTTGTTATCATGAGCCATGCTTTACTTTTAATCCTCTTTCGGTTACAGTATACATAATCTGGACTTAATACTGCAGACATATGACAGAACGTTCATCCAAAAATGGCTCAAAGCCGGGAACCAAACATGCCCTCGGACACAGCAAGTCCTCTCACACTCTGGTCTCACTCCTAATTACCTAATAAGGGAAATGATTGAGCAATGGTGTAGAAGCCAAGGGCTTGAATTTTCCAACCATGTTCACTATATCAATGAGGAAGTTATAGTAGAACCAGAGCATGGTCATTTTCTTTCTTTGCTTGAGAAAGTGTCTTCATCAGCACTTTCTGAACAGAAAGCCGCTGCGAAGGAGCTCCGGATTCTAACGAAGAAAATGCCCTGTTTCCGTGTATTTTTCAGTGAGTTCCCAGACGCCATTCCCAAATTGCTTAAACCAATCTGTGGGAGTCACTCCCTGGGTAATGTTCACCCTGACCTCCAAGAAGATGTTATCACAATACTCCTCAATATCTCTATCCATGACAACAACAAGAAGATTGTAGCTGAAACTCCCATGGTAATTCCTCTCCTCATGAGGGCATTGAGATCAGGAACAATTGCAACCCGAAGCAATGCCGCCGCAGCCCTTTTCACTTTGTCAGCTCTAGACTCAAACAAGGAACTTATAGGGAAATCTGGAGCCTTGAAGCCTCTTATTGACCTTTTAGAAGAAGGGCATCCCTTAGCCATGAAAGATGTTGCATCAGCAATTTTTACCTTATGTGTCCTTCAAGAGAACAAGGCAAGGGCAGTGAAGGATGGCACAGTGAAGGTGATTGTAAAGAAGATAATTGACCAGGTTTATGTCGATGAACTCCTTACCATTCTCGCGCTGCTCTCAAGTCACCAGAAGGCAGTTCAGGACATGGGGGAGCTCGGAGCTGTTCCTAGCTTGTTGAGCTTAATCAGAGAGACCACTTGTGAACGAAACAAAGAGAATTGCATTGCAATCCTTCAGACTATCTGTCTGTATGACAGATCCAGGTTGAAGGAAATAAAGGAAGAAGAGAACAGACATAGAACAATCTCCGAGCTTGCTCAAAATGGAACTTCAAGGGCTAAGAGGAAGGCTGCTGGAATTCTTGAGAGACTAAACAGGGTTGTCAATATTACACACACTGCATAATTTCCCTTATCAGGATCCTTTCGTTAAGGAAAATTAGTCTGTACATTTTTTGTTCTTCTACTGTTCTAAGGCTGTTGAGAGTTTAAATTAGGACACTATTTTTGCTGTGTATATACTATCTCGTAGTCAAATAAAAGCATAACATGTAAAAATATAACGTGGAGTGAAGTTCTTAGAAGACTCAAGTTAATAGTATTAAATTGTAAAATATATCTGTTGATCATGATTTTATTGGAGAATTTGTTAGTAAGTGCTTAATAATGTTTCTGCCAAAATTCTCTGAATGACCAGTTTGGTGCATTCCATTCTTTTGTTAACGAAGTCATTACCGTGACCAAGAATTAAAACAGGGTCAAGCCAATGCTCTTGGCTTCGATATTTCTGGTGAGATATTTGGACTTTATTATTCTTGTTCTTTGGTAATTTTTATTTTTAGCTCAATTTTTATTATGATATTCTTGGAGATAAATGTGTGATAATCCTTGTTTTCGTTATGAAAAATGAGTCTAAAACAACGTATGGCTGAACCGTTTTATAAGAGGAAGGATGAGGACAGCTTATCAAAATATCTAGATAAAGTAATTCACTTATAGCAAGCATTAATAGACAAGAAATTAACGTTATTAGGTAAATTAGTAACATAACATCTATGAACTAAACTAATGCAACAATTTTTAGAATCGTTTAATGTGAAGAATACAAATAAATGAAACAATAATAATATAAGAAGTCATTTTAAAAAGTTATGAAAATAATAATTTTGCATGTATTTTAAAATATAAAAGTAAAGAAATAATAATAAAAATAATTACAAAGATATAACAAATGGTACTAGGATAATGAAAAAGATTCTAATGACCTTTTTCACATTAAACGGAATATTTTCCGTCTCAAATTATAACATATTTTTAAATAAAATCTCACATATTTATAAATTTTATTAAATATACTTAATAATTTTATCTTTTTAAAATAAAAATATAAACTTCTCAAAATAATCATCATTTAATATAATGAAAAAAATGATAAAAATTAATTATAGAGAGGAAAGGGTAATATTAAAATTAAAATATTTAATCAAATCTTAATCTACTAAAAATATCTTATATTTTGAGATGATTTTTTTTAAAATATTTTATAATTTAAAATAAAGGAAGTATTAATGTAGTGATCTATCATGACATTGTATTGTAGTTCTACAATCATTATCAATATGAATTATAAAACCATTTTATTTTCCACCTTGTATGTATGAGCTGGCGGAGATGATAGCTATCACGTGTCTATGTTTCTCGTAAATAGCGTTGTCTTGTCTGAGGGACGCTGGCCTAAAATTCGATTGTAATGAGCAACAAAATAATAATAATAATATGCAATAAATTTTTAGCGCAGAAAATGTTTCTTTTTTTGGGGTAGACAATTGTCATTAGAATTTAAGTATATATATCAACAACAAAAATTGAGGAACCACATTAAATAAATAAATAAATAATCTATAAAATCCAATATTAAAAAAAACCCAAAGAAAAAGATAAGAAATCAATTATATAGTCCGGAACTATAAATTAAGAACATCTAGCCATCATATGTTTACAAAATTTTTAATCTTTGGAATTACTAGACACATTATTTGTTGAGATCGATCTCCTGCAATAATGCACTTTATCATTCAAGAGACATCAACACAAAAAGAATGAAAACATATATAGAAAATCTATTCTCTCTCTTTTTGCATTCACTCTATCTTTTCTATAAACTTCAAAGACTCGGTAAAAGCACTATCCATCAGCAACCAATTAACCTACAATTACCAGTTAGCAAAATAGCTTGAATATGCCCATCCATTTTTGTCCAAGAATGCCTGAACTTGTTCCTTGATTGCCAAGTTTGGTACAAGCTCTGTTGCCCGAAGTGGTCGCGCCGTGATCGGATCCAAAATACTCTAATCACAAAATGCACCACTTATACATCAGTAATACAAAAATATATATCAACAAAACCAATCTAGTCACGCTATCTGCTACTTGTGAATAGTACCACTTGTTGTTGAGTCAAATGTGACATGTTTGGTAGGTTAGTAAAGTATCACAGACATTTGCTTTCTAGATAAAAAAAATACTTTTTTGTGTATCAAACATGTCATAATCATCGATACTTTATAGGAATATGCAAAACCACATTATTACCGTCTGAAGGTGTTGAAGAATCGCTTTTCTCTCGTATGTATGCCCACTTGGAGTAATCACAGGATCTCGAAAAATATGACGGTTGATTGGACAGCATAAGTAAGTTGGGATCTTAAAACACGCAACAGAAGATCATCACAAGACATGAGATATACATAGTAATTTTCATGAAGAAGATGATATAATTACAGAAACCAGCCATATAGTGTACTTACATCAGAAGGCGTGTCAGGCTCTGCAACTTCACGGAAAACGGTTTCTAAAGCAGCAAGTTGTTGTGAGTGGGCAGCTTCAGCTTCAGCTGTAAGCCCATTCCTTTGAGATTGATGTTTTTCATTAAGGGCAGACTCACAAGCTTCTCTGTTACATGAGCACACGGTTTATATAGCAGCAGATAACATCTTGACAATAATCCTATCGTTCACAACCTTGTATTTAATATGAGAAAGTAACAAAATTTATGAGGTAGATAGTGACGTAATCTTATTTATAAATCATTTTAAATATGTTTTATCAGAACTAAAAAAAAAAAGTATTAAAACTCATTAAGTAATCTATCTAAAATTTTAATAAATTTTTAACTTTATCTCTATTAAATATACATAACTTAATAATGTATTAATCTTTTCGGTCTCTATTATAAGGCATCTTTAATCACTTTATCAAAACTAAAGAGATCCCGTGATTAATTTATTAACTTCATCTAGCAAGAATAAAATTCCAATTTTATTCATATTTAAATTAAAAAAATTAAATTTACATTACATTTGCATATAAAAGTTATCTTATAGTAAGAATTGGAGAGTGTACTTCCTCTCACACTCACAACATTATCAAAAACTTTTAATAAAAAGTCAATAACATGCCTTGCAAATATAATTAAAAAAAATACTGCTTTGTCTACCTTATAAATAAAAGAAGAGGAAAGTATGTATAAGCTAATTTGAACAAGCATCAATTTTAAATTTAAAACCTAAGCTATAATTAGGTCAAATTACAATCATCATAGAACATACTTCAAATTATGCAGTTCCTGTGATCTCCTGTCAGACGCATCTTGCCACTCAGTGTATTTTGCGTAAACAAGCGCCTGCCACGTGCGCTCAACCATGAGGCCATAATTAGGATCAGCCTCCCTCTCAAGATCAAAAGCCTGCAATCAATATATGCATGCAAACAAAACATCGTAAGTGCGTAGTTGACATCTCAGACTTGAACCAACACAAACAAAAGCATTAATTGCGTGGCTTAATCATTGTCCAGAACAAACCAACACTTTCTATGCCTATGCATGTTTCATTCCTGCATGAGTAAAGTCATTCAAGTAGCAGAAAGAATAACATTTGAGATGAAAACTCCTCTTAAAAATAAGGTATGATAATGCAACTTTTCCGTCTCCCAACTTCTTTTGTTTTTGTTTTTTTTTCAATTATCAATTTGATTCTCGAAATTTAACCTTTACCAATCAAGTCCTGAAGTTTCAATTTCAAAGCCATGCATACACAACTAATCTTTTTTTATTTTAAAGGGGAATAGAGGTTATGAAACTTTGAAGACTTGATTAATAAAGATTTGAAATATAAAAAACTGGCGTAAATTTGAGGAACAAAAAAGTTTTATTATTCCTCTCAACTGATATAGGAGTAACTATTAAGGAAGAAACATGGAGTTCAATGATTACAAACCCTCTCCAATTCTCTGATCCCCTCGGTATATTTTCGTTTATTCACCCATGCAAGCCCCAATGAATAATGGGCCTGCAATATTATATAGCCACAAGAAGATTAATTAGCTGACTCCAACATGCTCAAATATATACAAATTAACTGAACAAAGATTCTGAAACAAACTGTATGAAAACCACTTTGCCCAATTTACAAGAAACAAGTCACACAAGTATACTGTGACTAGAGGCAAGCCCATAACAAGCAAATATATAGAAATTCACCTGAATCCAATCTCTCATATAAAGCTTGAAAAATAATACATGAATGGAACTTGTTTGGCTAACGAACGACGACGGATACAAGTTCTGTCAACAAAGGCTCTAAGAATGTCTATCAAGAAGGTGTGCATGCTTTCAAACGTATGACCAGAACAAGCAATAACGTAGAATATATAAGAAAATCAAACATGTGGGACTGAGAAGGAGATCTTGGTAACCTGGGCAATCTTGTTGTCGAGTTGAATAGCTGTGCGGCAATCTATCTCTACTCTATCCCATTCACTAAAAACAACAACAGACAAAGAGATGCATATCATACAAGAATTAAAACCACATGGTGATAATCAAAATGGGAATGAAGTTGACGGAACATACCCGAGCATGAAGTTACACGCAGCACGATTCAGCCAACAAAACGGATTGTGGGGGCACGTAATTATTGCCTTGAAAACCCAAACAAATCAAAACAGAGTGAGGAATGAGAGTCGCGCGTGTCTAAGGAAGACGTGAATCAGCCCATAAAAGATTCACGTTGCATGAGAAAACGAAATGATCTTTGGTAAATAATGCATCAAGATTAGCACCTGGGAACAATACGTGACGGCAGCCCGGTAATCTTGTCTGGAGTAGAATGAGCAGGCCTGGGTGATCAGTCTATTCCCACGTTGAACCGCCGAAGAGAAATCAGAACTTCCATATTCCACCATTTTGCCTCCAGTATGTATAAACAAGCTTGCGTAAACAGAGCTGGAAAGTACGGAAGACGAAGAGCGAATCAGCGAATGTAACGAAACGAGAGGGTTGACCAGAAGTTTCAAGCTCAAGGCTTCGCGGGAAGGAGAAGAAGAAAAGTGGTTAACAGTTGGGAAGAACTGAACAAGAATGTCATGATTATTGGTTGGTGAAGACCAATAGTTGCTTGACATGTGTCCCCTCTTTTATTTTTATTCTTGATGTAATCCATCAACAATGACTATTTTGGGTTGGATACAAGAATAATAAAAACATGGAATTAGTTTCATGCATTTACATGAAAATACGAGATAAATATTTTTTTTATATTCTATATTGAAATTGATATTAGGTGGGACATACTGCACTGGTCAAGAAAGATATCAGGTCCAGCCAAAAAAAAAAAGATGAAAAAAAATGCAAAGATCAACATATTATTTATGTATAAATTATTTATTTTATATTTTTTTAATAGTAGTTATTATCTACGCCCTTCATTTTAAAATATAAGCAAAACTTTCATATGATTTTTCTATTTTTTATAAGCAAAAAAACAATTTTTTTGTTTTTTTTCTGCCAATTCAAAATTGCAATTTGTAGGTTGACTGACCAACAAGCTAAAAGTTTTCACAGCGCAAAATAACAATTTTTAAAAAGCATATATATCATCTTTCTTTAATTTCCTTCTATTAAATGATAATATCATTAAATTAGAAAAAATGAAAGATTAATCATAAGGATACTTTAATCCCAACTTTTTAATTTCAGGCATACTTATTAGGATTAACCAATTTTGTAAACTATGTGAGTTGATTAGAATTTAATTATATTTTTTTTATTATTATCACGTGAGAAATATACTAAGATCATATTAATCACCTTTGTGAACCTAAATAAATTTACACAAACTATGATTGACACAAATGCCGAAACATACTATGGTTTATAGATTTTGGCATATATGAATCAAAACATATATATATATATATATATATATATTTATTTATAATTTAAGAAAATTAAAACAGTCAACTCTAATCTTTGGGAAAAAAACATCTAGTCAAATGAAAGCTTTATAAGGGGGAAAAGTATCACTAAGTAACAATCTACTGCCTCCATCTCAAATTATGAGATACTTTTAAGAGAGATTTGTCATTTCAAAATATAAGACACTTTAAGAAAATTAAAATTTCATTAAATAAACTTATTCCAATATTATCCTTTATTTATATCTATTTAATACTAATTAGGTGTGGATTTAAAGTTATTAAATGAAGGGTATTTTTGAAATTTTATATTTTTGTTTTGAAAAAATAAGATTGTTAAATGTATTTAATAAGGGTTATTGATATATAAATTTTTATCTAAAATTATTTTATAATTTGAGATGGAAGGTGTACTTTTTATTATATGACTGTTCGGTATTGGATCATAAATAGTCACCAATCTTTACTAAGATTGTTTTGCATCAATAACCCAAAAAAAAAATCAATGATATAAGATTCAATCAAGATAATAATTTATTGAAAAAATTAGTCATTTAATAATTGTAATTTTGAACTAATGAATTAAGTCCTGAATTTTAACTTGTTATAACTCGAGCCTTATAATTTTGACTCGATTGTAATTCAATTTCTGAATTTTGATTTTTATAATTTAGTCATTATAGTTTTAACAATGTAAAATATTTATTCCTATATTTTAAAATTAAAATTATATTAAAATTTAGGACTAATATTTTAAATTACTAAGCCCTTTTAATCTTGAGTCATTTTCATCCCTAAATTGTACATGCAAAGTCACAAATTTTTCTAAACTCAATTATAGGTTAATTATATTCTTCAATTTTGAATATTTTTTATATCATCATTGTGACGTTAAAAAAACTTAACATCTATTAATCATAAAAGGTTCTACTATTTTTTAAATATTTTTTATTAGGTTACGGGCCATTTTTGCCCTCAACTTCTATCTGAAGGGTCATTTTTCCCCTCATTCAAATATTTTATAATAAAAAATATTAAAAAAAATATAATGTGAGGCCTACTCATTGTGAGAAAATAGCCGGATAACAATAGAAGGAATCTTTAAAGTTAAGAGTCAGAATTGACCCATAATTAAATTTAAGAATATTTTTTATCTTTCGTATATAGTTCAAACATAAAAATAACCCTTAATCCTTTAATCTTTATAAAGATCATAAAGATTAAAAATTTAAAATAGTTTTAATATTTAGAATTTTATTTTTTAAAATATAGGTACAAATATTTAAGTGGTTAAAATTATAAAGACTAAATTACAAGAATCAAAGTTTAAGGATTATGTTACAATCGATTATAACAACTCAAAATTTAAGGACTAAGTTATGATTTGATGAAAATTACATGGACAAATGATTAATTTTGCTTAATTTTTTTTTTTTACCACAAACCCCTTTCATGTAGATAATGTGTCACTAGACTGAATTATCATAGAAGTGGTCTATTACACAATTAATCTAACAAGTGTAAATAACCTCAAAATAATTATTCCAACGAAATTAAATCTCAATAACGACGATCACTCACAAACTTCAGATTTACTGATTCACTCATTAACTTGAGATTTTTTTTTTTCTTTTTCAAATTTATTTTATTTTTGCATATCAAATGAAAACAGAGGGATCAATTTATCAAATATCAAATTATTAGAAAGGCAGATATCACATCCCTTGGCATTTCATCAAACACCTGTGAACCCTATAAGTCATGTTTTATTGAAAGAAATTTAGTCTTAAACGTAATTTGTATCAAATATATATATATATATATATATGTATATATATGTTTAAGTACCCATCTTCTTCTTGTATTTTTTTTTATGTAAAATAAAGAAGGAAAAAAGAGAAAACAAATATACCCTTGTATTTTTTCCGATGTACTTTGTTTTTTTAATGTATATTTAGGATTGAAAAGAGTACATTTTAACTAAATTGGCCAGATTTTATGTCAAATGCTAATCGTTGCTTATAAATATTTCTTTATAACTATATTATGTTTTATATTTACTTATTTGACGGGTTAGAAGAGTAACTTCCAAATACGTTTCTCGAGTTCAATCCAACCCCAAATAGAGGCGTACATCGATTGTTACATTGTTGGCCTGACATGCACAATTTCTTCCACTAAGCCCCACACAGTTTTTAGACTTTTTCTTTCATCCAAATCAACGCTAGACTTCTTCCACCAAAAGTTCGTCCAATTTCTGTTGAACCTACAATTAAGTTAGAGTTAATTACAATGAGAAGTTCGAATCATTTGGAAATTCCTATGGAAGAAGTGAATGATTCAAACTGGAAGGTACTGTGCTATAAAAGGCTGCAGGATCTGTGGGACACAGATTTTGGTTCTTCAGTTCATCATACCAGGTTTATTAATCCTGAGTTGTACAACGTTATCCGTGATAAGAATGCTGGTGTGAATCAGTTTCTGGACGTCTTAGAGCAATTATGCAGAGAGAATCAACTTAATTGTGAAACAATCTTAGATAAAGCCACTGCCATGGGTGGTGATTCGTTGCTTCATGTTGCAGCTGAATTCGGGAGAGAAAAGATAGTAGAGCTTCTTGTTGATCACAACGTTTCTCTTCATGTGAGAAACAAAAGAGAAGACACTCCACTTCATGTTGCTGCAAAATCGAAGAACATTGAGGTGATGAAAATCATTTTGTCTGGATTTAAAGATGCAGATCATAAAGACAAGTTTATAATGTTACCGAACAAGTTTGGGACAAGAGCTTTGCATGAATCTATATTGAGCAAGCATCGTGAGGGCTTTGATTTCATATTAAATGAGCAAAGTGAAAGTACTTGGCCTCTCTACTGGGACACTCATCCAGCTGAATCACCAATATGTGTGGCACTCCAGAGTGGGGATGTGCAAATTCTTGATCGTCTCTTGCAGATCCCGTTCCCTAAGGACAGTACCATTCATATGTGTCGAGGAAACTCTCCACTTCATGCCATCATATCAGAACGCAACACTGGTATGTATGTATGTGGGTGTGTGATGTCAAATAAATTCATCAATATGTTGCTTTTGTGTTTGTTTCACCCTCATTAGTGGTGGAGGGAGGGGGGACCAGCAAGGGTAGTGGCCCCCCCCAATTTTTAAAATTTTCTTTATATTATATAGGTGTTACATACTTTCGATCTCCCTAAAATTTATAAAAACTTTGAAATATATATGTTTTTTATTTTCGATCCCCCTTATTCTTAAATCCTAGCTCCGCCCCTGCTTATTTTATGTTTGTGTTATGTTGTTTAGTTGTGGATGGACTTAAACTATGGATGTGGAACACATAAACTTGAGTTCTGAAGTTTAGTTAAAATATAGCATCCCCCACCTTCTATTGCTTATTTGTTCTCTTCCCCTATTTCCAAGCGATGGTTCTCCATTCCTAACAGTATACTTTTGCACGTAGCTCTGTTGCAAGAGATGGTAGATAAAAAGGAAGAGCTAATGTATTTGAGAGATGAAGCCGGAGACACTGCCCTTCATTGTGCAGCAAGTAGAGGGTTTGTCCAAGGTGTTCGTATACTGTTGCAAAAATCCAAGTTTCTTGCATGGGAACGAAACTCAAACTACCATCTTCCGATTCACCTTGCTACCCAAAGTGGTCATGTTCTGGTGGTCAAAGAATTGCTTGCCATGGGATGGCCTCTGACCAGGTTTTTTCTCAACGGTGAAGGCCAAAACATTCTTCATGTTGCAGCAATGAGAGGACAAAACAAGATGGTAAAATATCTATTGACGGACCCCAAGATGCATAGTGAAATTGTGAATGAAAAAGACATCAACGGAGACACCCCTTTGCATTTAGCTTCGAAAAGATTGTGGCTTTGGTCTCTGCTCATTCTATCAAGACACAAAATGGTCAATGTGAATCTTACTAATAATCAAGGCTTCACAGCTCGAGATATTATTCGAATGCAGTGTAAAATTCCTATGACAAGTCGAGAGGTATTTATAACTCATTGTGCTTCCTTCATACATGCATGCAGTTTTATTACACACACATATATAATTGTTTGATTTTGTTAAATGTAATTTGATTAATGGTTGTTATGAGAACAAGCTCAAAAGAAGAGCTCACGATGGGAGAGCCCCTTGAATTATAAAATTCACTTCACTTATGAGTCCCATGAGCTTATAAAGTTCACTTCACTATGAGACTCTCCAATGAGACTAATAATAAATGTCTCATAGCTTCATTTCATGATATTTCACTTGGCCTAGTTAGGAGCCTCCATGAGTAACCCTCGTTTAAAGAGAGAGCTCATTTCAAAAGATTAACTTATTGGGTATGAAAGCCCTTTGAATATATAGTCTCCACTTCACTTATAAAATTCCTCAATAGAAAACTCACAACAGATTTTTAATCTCTCTCTTCTTTGTGCTTTTTCTATAGTATAATTTCTCCAAACACATTTATTTCTTTCAAATTTGATTTCCATGCAGCTTTTGGCTGATGCAATCTTACAAAGAGCTGGTGTGTTAATCCAAGAAAATTTGTTGCGAGAACAAAACCTTGCATCTGCTGGTATAGAATGCAAGGTGAAAAATGCAGCTAACACACTCATGCTTGTGGCCATACTAATAGCCACAGTGACATTTGCTGCTGGTTTCACATTACCAGGTGGGTTTTACTCTTCTGATGACCCATTTGATGAACAAAGAGGTATGGTAGTGTTGGCCGATAGAATATTCTTTAAAGTGTTCATGACTTTCAATTCAGTTGCTATGCATACCTCCACTCTCAGTTGTGCTTTTCTTATGTGGGTCTCATTCAATGATTATCATTTCGCAAAAAGAGTATTTGAGTTTGCTAAGATTCTTTTAGCTATGGCTCTAATAACCATGCCCGTGGCATTTTTTGCTGCCATACGGTTGGTTGTGAGCAATAATACTTTTCTTGCAGATGCTGTAAGTGCCATTGCATTCATCTTCATTTTTCCCATCTTATTTTCTCTTTTTTTGGGATGGTTTCCTCTTGGAACTCGTGTTCCTCCATTTCGTCAACTTGGATATTTCTTAATTAAGATTTTCCTTTTCTTATTTTATGGAAGAAATGATACTGAATTGTCCTGAGCTACATCCAATTGATGTATATTGGGTACATTCTTTGCTTATGTTGATGTTAATGTTGCATTTATGACATGAATAAGAATTTGTGGAATCATATTAATATATAAGAATTCTATGGCACAAACATCACACGTTATTATTAGTAGGTTTTTCAATAACATCCATATGATTTTGTTAGGAAAAACCCAAAGGAGAAAAGAATCAATCATATAGCATGGAACAGTAAAAATCATTTAACCAACTTATTTTTATTAAAGAGTTGGGTGAGAAAGGCATTAAATTTTTTAATTTTAGTAATCATTAAATACGCATGTTAAAATCTCCTGCAATAATGCACTATAACAGTTGAGATATAGCAACACAAAAGAATCAAAACCTGCATAAAAAATCTATTTATTATCTTTTTACTCTATCTTTTCTATATATGTCCCCCCAATACATTTTCAAGATTCAATAAAAGCCCTATATATCCACCTAACGAACATACAATTATCTGTTAACCTCAAAGTTCAATGATCACCTATGGCTTGTATGCCCACCCATGTTTGTCCAAGAATGCCTGAACTGCTTCCTTTATAGCCAAGTTTGGTACAAGCTGCGATGGATGAAGTGGTTCCCGCGTAACTGGATCAGACTTGCTCTAATTACAAAAATGAACCACTAATGTCTCAGCAACACAAAACAAACAGACAAAGCCAGTGCAAATACAAACTTGTAAATTGCGAGACGTGTTACAGGTTACAGGAGCCATAATATTGCATGGTCCAAGGAAGCAAGCCATAATACGGTTTGTGAATAGTAAGACTTGTTACAGATTAGATTGTCTCATATACCAATAGTTCATAAGAGCATGATCAGGAAGATACAGTATGCAAAACCAGATTACCTTTTGAAGGTGTTGAAGAATTACTGCCCTTTCATATGTATGTCCACTTGGAGTAATTATAGGATCTCGAAGGATATCGAGAGTGATTCTACAGCATAAGTAATCTGGGACCTTAAAATACCCAAAAAAGGATCATCAAAACACATGATATAGTAATTTTCATGAAGATGATAATGACAGAAACCAGCCCTGTACTATATTTACCTCAGTATGCATGTCAGCCTCTGCAGCTCCACGGAAAACTCTCTCTAAAGCAAGAAGTTGTTTTGAGTGCTCAGCTTCAGCTTGATCAATAAACCCTTCCATTTGAGAGACGTCACGAAAATGCTTTTCTGTTAGAGCTAACTCACAAGCTTCCCTGTGACATGAGTACATATTTTATAAAGCAGATGATAACAAATTGACAAGAAATATATCATTCATGAACATTAAATAAACAATAAATGCACAATTTCGTCTTCAAAGATATACTGTCTAGCACTCTAGTTCTTAGATCTATTTCCATGCCAAGTAGATAGCGGCAGTTTAATATATAAACTATTCTTCAACTTGCATCTATTAAAAATCTCAAGCTGTTAGGCCTAATAGTCACCACAAAGCATACTTCAAATGCTGCAATTCCCATGATCTCTTGACAAATGCACTTTCCCAGTCAATGTATTTTGCTTTTGCAAGCTCCTGCCAGATCTCCTCTACCATATAGCCATTAGGATCGGCACCCCTCCCAAGATCCAAAGCCTGAAAAATGGAAGTTTGTGATCAATACATGAACATCTTCATGCAAACAAAAGCAGCACAAGTTGATATCTCAGAATCCAAGCATCACCCTGTATATCAGTGGTAAAGTTATATCTAATTAGATACAACATCACGCCAGTACAAGCAAGTTTCATGCCTCTTAGCATCCCAGAAGTAAGGCAAAAGCTTACACGATTTGTGGCTTTTGTCTTACTTACACTAATATTATCCTGACCACACCAACACAAATAGACAAAAGAAAAGGGAATTCGATGAAGTGGAATAAGAAGAAAAGGAAGAAGTTGCAAGGCTGGTTAAAAGTTGCTTCTCCTTGCACATGCGTAAATGCTTTTTTTCTTCCATCCATCAAGATTAGTTAGAGATAGCACGTATTCTTATTCCCCAGTACTTTCTCCTTCAATATCAAAATCAGAGTTTACAGTGTTCTGTGTAATTCCAGCAGTATATAGCAAGGCACCTCTCAGAATCCCATACCATAAAATCTTGTTAGACAACCAGCTTTCGTGATTTGTAAGTATTTTGACATACTGGAATACTAATTCTGTTGCTATTATGCAACGCAATCTGGACCATTTTCACAACTATCTTGGCTCCTACCTTTTCCAATTCTCTGATCCCTTCGGTATATTCTTGTCTCTGCAGCAATGCAAGCCCCAAGAAGTAATGACCCTGCAATACAACCACAAGAAGATTTGGCTGAGACGAGAAACCAGTTCTGGTAACCACAAGCCAACTAAACAAAATGAAACAAATAAAAAGTAGAAGACGCTGTTATCAAAGATTCTCAGTGCCAGTGCTTGTACTAAACTGTATGCAGACCACTATGCCCAATTTGCAAACTGAAGCTAAGCCTATAACAATAAAGAATATAGAAATTCACCTAAATCCATTCTCTTTTTCAACTTGGTAAATTCATAATGATATTAAAAAAAAAAAAAAACTCTTCCAATAAATTTTGAAACAGAATGCATAAAAGGAACTTGTTGAACTGAAACAAAATTACGACTCTCAAACAGGGAAATCAACTATATAAATGCAAGAAACAATTAATACAAATTCTGTCATGAAGGCTCTCAGAAAGCCCCTCAGCTTTTACAAAAATACACACCCCCTGGTAAGACATAAATGCAAACCACTATAAGCAAATTTGCAACAACAAAAAAGGAGTGATCAACAATAAAAAAAGAGTGATCAAGAATTAGCGTACCAACGTAAGACCAAAACAAGAAATTATATAGAAAATATTAGCAACTCAAACAGGTGAGACATAAAAATTGGCAATCATATATGATACAGGAACTTCACAATAATAAGGGGATCAGAATGACCTTGACTGACTTGTTGTCCAGTTGAATAGCTCTCCGACTGTCTTCCTCTACTCTAGCCCAGTCACTAAAGAACCACAAACAAAGAAAAATTGAATTCATTACAAGAACGAAGCAAGTGCAAAATCAAAATGGGCAGTTTCCCTTCCCGGACATACTTGCGCTTACGGTGACACAGAGCACGATTCGTCCAATAAACCGGAATGTTAGGGCACAGAGTGATTGCCTTGAAAAACCAACAAACCCAAAACAGAAAACAGAGAGAGAACGAAAAAGAATGAGAGTCATGTAAGAAAGACATCAATCTGCACATAAAAACGTCACCTTTACAGCGAAAACAAGCCTCAAAATGATCTCTGCTGAATAATGCAGCAATAATACCTCGGTATAAGCATCGATGGCGGCCCCAAAATGTTCTTTCTTGAAGTAAAAGTTTCCGAGGAGTTTCAGTTGCTCAGCTTGTTGAGCCGCCGCTGACAGAGAACCTCCACCTGTCACCATTTCTTATCCACTCTCCTTGCTTCCGAAATCACTCTGTAGAATGTATTAATAAAGAAGCGTCCGTACAACACTGAAAAGTACGGTAGGCTAGGGGCGACTGTAACGAGGAGCTTCAGCCGAATTTTCAAGTTTAAAGCATAGCGGGAAGGAGAAGAGTGAGCCTCCAAGCTTAGCTCGTGACTCGAGTGAAACCGACTCCAGCTTGGACTCCAAGTCCAAGGTGCGCCAAAACGGTTCAACGAGGCGTGGACAGTGATTAACAATTCAACGTGTTAATATATAAATTCTTGCATGAATCTGGTACCATATTATTTTTATTTTTATTTTTTTGTCAGATCATGTTATTGATATTCCATCCAGTAAATACATTTCATATTAAATAATAATAAATATAAATTAATTTTCATTAATAATGATTGTGAGAAAGAAAATAAGAAATTAAAAAGACATTATATTTCAAAAGTAAAGTCATAAAGAATAATAATACATAATATTATATTCGATTGAACTAAACTTATATTTATTGAACGGAACATAAATGATATAGTTCGCTGGATCTAAATAAGAATTCCTTCATAAGTAGTTAAGAACAACTTTAAAATTTGTTAATTTTTTAAAAAATTTAATAAGTTTTTAATTTTATTCTATTAAATATATATATATTTTAAGAATATAAGTTCTCTTATTAACATTTAATGGGGTAAAATATAAAAATTGTGATATGACTTATAAATAAAATTAAACAAAATTTCTATGCATTATAAATAGTATTCAAGGAACAAGTGTTTTAATATTTGTGCATCCAACCATTAAAATATAAGTGTATCATGAAGTACGTAATTAGAGTTGGAAAATAGGCGAGCCTGACTTATATGGCCTAATTTATAGGAACTCCAATCTTAAAGTTTGGTTTTTTTAAAATTACTCATTTTTCAATACCTAACTCTTATTCAAAACACTTAGGGCTGGATTTAAAAGCTTATTTTAAAAAAATTAAAATAAAATTTAATATTATAACATTACAAATTAGTTAAAATATTTTAAAATTCAAAACAAATCAAACAAATTAAAAAGTCTAAATTTATCATCTTCAAAATAAATAAAACAGGTTTAGAAGTCTAAATTTAAGATGACACAATGTTTGTTAAACTAGAAGCTATAAAACTACAACCTACAGGTCCACATACAAATATAAATCCAAAGAAATTCACAAGAATTCAAGTCTGCGGGTCAAGGATCAACCGCAATATACCCTTTAGGGATAGTAATTCATCAATTAAACAACATACATCCACCTTCTACATCAATAATTTGGAAAATAAGGAAGGACCCAACCCAAAAAAAAAAAAATCCAGAATCGATCCATTCCGAAATGATCGAACCTTATAGAAAGAGCAAACGATAGAAAAGTAAACAAAACTCATGCTATCTCTATATACAACTTCATGATTGTATAAAATAGAACAAACAAACTTGTTAACGAAAATCAAAGAATTTGTAAGATCTCCAGGAGACACGGTTCTGCATCTGCAATGACGCTTGGATGACAGAAACAAGGTTATGTTTTCTAATTTCACTTAAATAACCATCTATAATGTATTCCCCTCTCACACTCTAATTAAATACTCCCTCCGAACATAGTATAGTGCATCTTTTAGAAGTTATACTTTGTTGAAAAAACATAGAACATTAAATAATTTTTATAATTGTTTTCTCAACTATACTCTTACTTCATTTATTATTCTTTTTAAAAAATGATATATTGAAATTTCAATTGCATTATCAAGGTACTTATATAGGGTATTTAATTGGGATATAATTGAAGAGATATAATTTTTTGAAAAAATATAACTTTGGATCATTGCACTTTGCTCATGTTTTATTATAGATTCCTATACTTTTTTTATATTCTAAGTCCCTACACTTTTATTTTTTTTAGTATTTTAGATCCCTCCATGGTCCCTACACTTTGTTCATTTAGACCTAGAATATTGAAAAAAAATGTAAGAACATATAGCAAAATGTAAAAAAAGTGTAAGAATTCAAAGTTATTTTTTTCCTAAATTTCTTTAGAAATTAAAATTTCAACTATTGTTTTTTTAAATTGTGAATAAATACTAATATTTTATATTATAGTATAGAGGGGATAGTTATTGTTAGATATGAGGTTTACATGTGTCCACTTGTTTATTGACTCAGATAAGTGCGTATATGCTTGTAGGTGCAGAGGTAGATGGCTATAAATACCTAGCCCAAGTTGCTGTAATTAGACTCTTTGATTTTTAATAAGAATTTTGATTCTTTCATGGGTTGTGATTATTGATCTTCACATGGTATCAGAGCTAGAAGAGAATTTATCATGAACGTTCAAAACAATAGAAAATGCCAAATAACCAAAAACTCTTATTGAGGTCAAATCAGGTGGCTTATTATGCAACAATTCATAGAGAGTTTTATATTTTAAATTTTTAGATGGAATTCTATTTACAAGAAAAGTTGCAATTTTCACACTTTCACCCCAAAATCTCAAAGAAAATTTAGAATGAAACATTAAACTTCTAGCAACCTCAAGCAACTGCCTATGTTTCCTCTCTACCATCCCATTTTGTTGAGGTGTGTAAGGACATAATGTTTTATAAGTAATACCCTTTTCATTCAAAAATTGTTTAACTTCATTATTAACAAGCACAAGCCCATTGTCACTTCTTATTTTCTTTACAATAGCAGAAAACTAAGTAGTAACATAAGCAAGGAAATTTTTCAAACATTGCACAGCTTCATTCTTTTGTTTAATTAAAAACAGCCAAGTGCAACAAGAGAAGTCATCAACAATTGTAAGAAAAAAGCTATGTCTATTATAGGTGGGTTCACGATATGGTCCCCAAATGTCTATATGAATTGATTCAAAACAAGATCTAGACTTACAAGTACTAGAAGAAAAGGGTAATCTAGTTTGTTTAACACGAATACAAATTTCACATTTATCACGACTAGTAGAAGTAATTTCTTTACTCAAGGATTCTAAATGCCTAAGAACATCTAATGAGGCATGTCCTAGCCTATTATGCCATAAAATTGACTTTTAGCCATCATGTTTACAATTATGTAATCCCATAGGTTGTTGTTGCTTGTCATTGGTAAGCTTACCAATCATTCTGGGGTTTCCAATTGAGATCTCCTGCAATGTACATAATTCAGGATAAAATGCCACAAAATACATCTGACTCTTAGTAAGCCTAGACATAGATACAAGATTAAAGCAACACTTAGGAGCATAATAAATATCACTTAACATAATGTTATCAAATAGTTTCACTATACCAGTATGTGTAACGGTAAGTTTCTCTCCATTTGGCATCTTAATCTTTCTTAGAGGTCCTATGTAAGGTTTAACAGAGTCAAGCATGGTGAGACTACTAACTACATGACATGTCACACTAAAGTCTAAAGTCCAATTGGTCTGACAAAAGGAGGTAGGAAGCACATTAATCAAACCTGATATAATCTCCTCAGTAAAATCAATTGTCCCAACAGCTGGTTCATTTTTATCTTGCTTGATCAATCGAAGAAGCTAATTGTACTGTTCCTGAGTTAGAGAAAGGGCAAGAGCTCTATCAATAAGTACACCAGGTGCTGAGGACTGCTCAAAGGTAACTTGATTGGCTCGGTTGATTGGCTTCCCTCGACCATTGAAACCACTTGGATATTCAACTAGTTGGTAATAATTTTCTTTCTTATGACCTTTATGATTATAATAGGTGTACTCGTCCTGTGACCTTTCGCTACCTCTTTCTCTACCTTGTCGTCTACCCCTTATTACCATAGTTGCAGGCTTAATTGGAGTGTTTTGCATATGAGAGGATATCCCATGTTGGTCTTCTTCTTATGAGACCATGGAATAGGCATTGTTTACTTAAGGGAGAGGGTGCATGAGCAAGATTTGAGACCGGACACCCTGATATGTGTCGTTTAGCCCTATCAAAAATTGAAACAATCATTATTGCTATACAATGGTGACATATTCCTTAGATGTGGCGCATTGATAGTATGGAAGTGGCACGAGTATACTCTGTTCATCCCATATCTCCTTCGATTTGGTGAAATAAGCAGATATACTAAGTGATCCTTATGTACAGGAAGATAAAGTGTGATGCAAATAATAGATCCATGTACCATCAGTCTTGTGAAAACGTTCTTGTAGATCAACCCATATGAGATGTGCATTTTTAGAAAAAACAATCCTATTGGCTACTGAATTTAAAATCCAAGAGATCATTATTTCATTACACCGATTCCATTAGTCACACAACTTAGGATCTTGTCTCTCTCTGGTATAAGTGCCATCAAGAAATCCCAGTTTGTTCTTTCCAAGAATGGCTAGCCACATAGTGCGATTCTAAACAGTAAAATTGTTTGAACCAATTAGGACTTGGAAAACTAGAGTTGCGATTTATGTGTCAGATGGGTGAAGATAAAGGGGATGGTGAAAATCAATAGGAAGGGAAGATAAAGATGATGAATCTTTAACCTAATCCTCACTAGTCATCTTGTGGACAAGGAGTTTGCAGGCCAAAGTTTGTGAATCAAGATGAGCGACAACTACATGAATAAAGACGAGAGTTGGAGATATGAACAAAACCAAACTAGGGTAGAAGTTAGAGTAGTTTTGGAATCATAGACCAAGCAATTCGCATAAGAGATATGCTTATAAGCTATTCTGGATCTATCCACGAAATAATGCATTTTAAATAAGAAACGTACAAGATGCTATCTTGTCATTTTCTTTAGTAACATGCGACAATATTCTATGGCTTTTTCATGGAAAACAAGATGCCTTTTAGAGAATTGAATCTTTTAAGTTCAAATAAAATTCAATCTGTGCCTTCTGCTATGCCTAACCGTTTTTTATATGAGAATGAGCCACCATCAATCTTAGTTAGAGAGACAGACATTGATGCTTCTGATAGCATACCAATACAGCCACTTAACTTTGATTCTAAAGAAGAAGGCAATCAAACTAATATTGATACAGAACACCTAAGGCAGCCCCCTCCAGGAAGTGAAAGAAGACCTCCAGCTTGGTTAAATGACTATATCTATCATATAGAATCAAGTCTACAAGGGAAAGAGGTAAGATGTTGTTACCCCATCCATAACTATATGTCCTATGCTAATGTTTCTTTAGATTATAAGCATTTTCTACTAAACAT